TAATTCTTAAATTCACACACATACAAGGTACAAGAAATTTAGAAGCAAATTCCTCTGTCCCTCCCCTTCTCTCTGCAGCTAATGAGTATGGTACCCAGTACAATCCCACCATGCTAAGAGAGGGCATGCCTCTTGTGAGCATCTTAGCTAGAGGAAGAAATTCACCTCCACAGAGGAGTCTTATGAGACATCTCAGGGAAGACTGTGCCCTAAACTTCACAGAGTACCTTCCCCTGCTGAGCCTGGTTATTGAGAGGTCTATAAGTATCCTTTACACACTAGCTGCACAAATGTAAGGCCACGTAGGCCTTTTCTAACATTTACATTTTATTTCAAATTTTATTTTTACTCATGTCCAGAGAAAGGCATTCTTAGTTTACAAATGTGGCCAAAACAGATTTGAATCCAACCACAGATCCATAAAACTTTTCTGCCAAAGGACTTACTTTGCAACTAATCTAACACTGAAGTTAAATGGAACATTGTAAAATCTAAAACTGTTAGACATCCAACAGTAGAAGAGAGAAAAATAAATTGAGAAGTAGACATTGAATTAGTATGCTCTTCCTTTAGGTATAATATAGAATGGTATGAAATCCTAAGCCTTGAGAAAGTAAAAAATGAGAGTGCACAGCCTTGATTTTTTTTTGATGGAGCATCAGATTACCTTATTTTAAGATTCAGCGAGATTACTTACAGAGTGCTGGAAGTGGTCTTTGAAAATGGGGAAAGAGCTTTCGACAAGAAATGAACAGACAAGTGATCGGTGTGATTTGTCTTCTGATGCTATGGCACAAGGCTTGTCACTCAAGGCATGGCTCCAAAGCACACCCAAACAGAAATACTGACAAAAGTCCAGGTACTGGACAAACATGTTCCTAGTAGGCTGATACAGCCACTCCATGAAATGGGTTGCATTAGGCCAAGCAGAATGCTATGATTTTGGGTGAGGTTTTTTCCCTATACACTGAAAAAGATTTCTGTATTGCTACCAGGTATGGAATCTATTGACAGAGAATGAAGATCCACAAGTTGTGCCAGAGCAATTCAATCACAGCATACCTCAGCTTAAAACAGCTGCACTGGAAAATGCAATTGGTAGATTTAAAAGACAAGTATAATCAGTGTACATGCTGGAAACCTTCTTAACAACTGTAGTATACCTGAAAATTTGTACAAGATAAAGGTGCTTAGCATCTTGGTTTTCCCTAAGTCTCTCTGTTTACAAAACAAATTAACACACTTGACAGACACCATAATAGTCTGTGAATTTCTTATGTGGCTCACTGAAAAATTCAGCCTGACTGATAAATTCAAAAATAGCTGACCAATTCAAAAATAACTAGTATGCCAGCAAAAATTTATAGACATGTATGGTAGCTGTCTTCACAACTTCGACTCAGAATGGGTATTTGGTGACACTGTATGGTTTTGCATAATAACCTATGTTCACTCTCTACCACTTCTGGGTAGCAACTACAGTCATGTACTATATGATTCATCTCACTGAGATTTCTCACCCTAAATTGGCACATCATGTAATATTCTGTGCCTATTTAAAAAACAAAACAAAACAAAACAATACAAAAACATGACTGAACTCTTTTCCTAAGAAAGTAAACAGCTAAATAATCTAACAAACTACAAGCTTCATCTTCTCTACTTTTTGAACCTGTCATAAGGAAAATGGATAGAAAAGGAACAGGGACACTGATTACTGGAGATGTAATTCAGTAGCAGAGTTCTGATGATCTCATAAACCTTAAAACGCCTGTCAAAAATTCCTGACTGTATTGCAGGTATGTTATGAATCTCTTTGAATCCATTTTTGTATAGGTTTTCAGTGTCTCTCTGGCCATTATTTCATGTACAAAACCAAGGTTAAATTAGACTTTGATCATTTTTGCTGGGCTTAACTTTGTCTTTATTTCTTTTGAGTAAGCTTTACACTGGAGAATATTGTTGCTCCTCCACCTCATTTCTTTAACCTTCCCAGAAGAAGCTTTTAAGGATTTTGAAGTCAAATAAAAATTGAACTTCCTAAAAGATGATAAACAGAAAACATTTTTAGCAACTCCACCTTATTTTGTGTATCAGTTGATAAGTTTTCTCTTTTTTTTCCCCAATGTTGTAAATTCACCTACCAAACCAGAGCCTGCATGCACTCACTCATTTACACTCTTCAGTTCCCAGAACTCAGAGGAGAGAATGGTAACCAACCACCCAGGAGAGAATGGTAACCAACCCTTATGAGCATTTCACTGGATTAACAGGTGTTAGCAACAATTGTATTAGGTAATAACTGATCTAATCTAACTTGCCATCATAAATACTTGTACTGGGTCTCCATGGCAAGGTGTGGCAGCATGGAGGCTGCAGAGTGACCTCTGCAGGAAAAGATATGGGGCTGCCCCATGCTGGACGCACACAGTTCCAGATGGCTCCAATGGACCCACCACAGGACATAGCCAAGTGTATGGTGCCACTCTAAAGAAGTATTTAAGAAAGGTGAAAAAAATTTCAGAGAAAGGGGAGGGAATAAAAAGAGTGAGAAAAAAACAGAGGGAACACCAAGGTCTGAGCAGGAGGAGGAGGAAGTGCTCCATGGTGGAGCAAATCTCCACACTGCCACTTATGCAAGACCCATTCTGCTGCAGATCGATATTCCTGAAGTACAGCTCACAGAGACCCCACAATGGAGGAGAGGAAAAATGTGAGGACCAAGGAGAAACAGCTAGAAACCATCATGTACTGGCTGTAACTCCCAGCCCTAATAGGTGCAGGGAGGAAGAGGAAGAAGAATCTAGAGTGAAGTCAACCTTGGGAGAGGGAGAAGAAAAGATGTTTTGATGTCTTTGTTTCTCACTATGCAAATATATATTGACAAATATTAAATCAATCTTCCCCAAGTACAGTCTGCTTTTCACACAATAGTAAATGGTAAAGAACCTCCCTTTTATCTCCACCCATGAGCTTTCTTATTTTCTTATTTTCTGATGTCATGCTGAGGAGGAGGGAGTGAGCAGCTGGATGAGCATTTGGCTATTAGCCAAGAATAATCCACCACAACATTTCACAGTATCTTTCTATCTTCTCTTTTTAGACTGTTCAGACCAACTCAATATTTTGATTCATTAAATAGTTACTTGCCAGTGATTACCACCTTTTGCCCATCTGACAATCAAACATCAGACACTTTTTATATTAGCAAAGATACTGATGCAATTGCTCTGAGTAACATCAGCCCTATTGAGCACACTGAAGGCCAAATACTTCACAGCATTTTAAATCATTTGATAAAAGTGTTCCTTTAATTGTACATTCAGCTTCCAAAGCTGCCCTTGAAATGTTGATTCTGGGAAACTAATTTTATAAACTAAATCAGAAGAGTTTGAGTAGCCTACCTTCCAGGTCACTACAAGTATAAATTAAGTGTCAGACTCCAGAGAAAGAAGGAAACACAATAGATAATGTGAATATTTTTCTTCTTGAGCATTTAGACTGTGCTGACATGGTGTTGCTTCCGGTTTTTGTTATTACATAATGTCTTTTGAACAGCTCCAATTTTTCCTAGATTGCAAGCAAACCATTACCCAGTACCCTACACTCAGTTTTAGTGGCTTTCAATCCTATTAAATAGGAGACCACCGGAAAGGAGCAATTTTTTTGAGCATTCCAAGGGAAACACTGGTGTCATAGGACTCAGCCCTGGAAAGACTTACATGCAGTTAGGTTTACATGCAAAGGCTACCCATAATGCATGGGCATGGGTAAGCCTTTGCACTATAAGACCTTTAGAAGCAACTGGGAAAATACTTGTTGATTTTAACATACCAGTCATTTGGGCTCAATTCATCATTCTACTCCATAGGTTTGAATATATTCACTTTTCCTAGATGCTTCTATTTAATTCCTTTACCTGTTCTGGATATATGTTTTTCTGATTCCATTATGGTTCCTTTTTACCAGACAAGTTTCATCTGGTTTGTCCCTTATCTTTTCTATCTGAAGGAAAGGAGAGGAAGGAGAAAGGAGACCTGCACTGTTTGTGTTGTTACTAGCATTTCTAGGCAGTGTCCCTTTGTTTCTGTTTCCTTCACATAATTTTTTTATCAATTCATTTCAGATAAACTACCTTACAGTGAAAAGTCAGAGGGAAAAGTTTACTACTGTTTTCATTTTCTTAGAACAGAACATAAGCATGGCCAAACCAGAATCTACATAAGTTTAATTCACTACAGTATTGCCTGTAAATCAGCAGTGACAGATGTTTAGAGAAAAAGTAGGAATCAGTAAACAAGAGCTTGACAGTTCTCTCTAAAGAACCCCCACTCATGCTCCAAGAATCAGGCTATTAAGAACCTGAGAGATAAAGATGCAACCTGAAACTGTGGTTAGGTATCAGCCAATGGTTTAATTTCTCTGTGAACAGTAAGTCTCAGAGCCACTGTGGCAGAGAACAGTTATGCATCCAACACAAGAAACAATGTTGTTGCATGCCTGGGAGTCCTTTTCTCGGTCCTTATTATATATATTCATACCATGTGTCACATGTAATATCCCTTTCAGAAAGATATTTATGTTCATAGCAACACACAGTGTTGTTTATAGAATTCCCCATACTCTTTTTAAAGGAAAACAAACACTGGGAACACATGAAGGTTAATGTGTGAATCTGATTGTCAAGATGAATTCACTTTCACAGAAAATAGCTGTTTGTAGCTGTCTTCTTACCACCACTGGCCAAATCCCCTTTGGGATCATGTCCTCTTTCATGTATCAGAACAAATGCAAGCAAAATTTAGTCACTTGAAAACTAAACCAAAAAAGCTTAGTCCCATTTAACTGCTGCTAAGGCATACTCAGTGATATTAGTACTAAAACATTATTGCTAAAATCTGCAAGGAATATGATTTAATCTGTTAAGTAAAGATTTTAAGACTGTGATAAAACTATAAGACAAATAAAAAAGGTGGAAAAAACATAGTTTATTATCTTACTTCAAATGGGAGCTCTGTTATTTCCATATTTCCAGACAAATCCAGTTTTTCCAGATTCTCACAATCACCCAATTCTGGAGGGACTGACTTCAAATTATTGAAACTCACATTGAGCACTTTAAGGTTTTTTAAGCAGCCTGTGAGGGAAAGATAATTAAAATCAACTCATTTTAAAAAAAATGTGAAGGGAGAAAGTAAAAATAAAAGCCATACTCATTTTAGCAAAGAAAAAAATCCTTAATGTCATGATGAGTAAGAGATTAATAAATAATTTCTGCAGTGGTCACTAACATTGAGGGGGGGG